GGAGTCTGTGCGGTAAACGGGCGTGATTACGGGGAAGCACAGAGATTGTTAAAGGATACCAATGATTTACAGACCCACAGATCTTTGGGGAATGTAGAATTATCTTACCTGTTTCAACACCCGTAGGGTTGGATTGACTGCAGATTGCTGCATTTACAAAACAGCATCATTTTCACCATTATCTATTAGTTCTACTAGAGTAGAGAGCCATCCATGTCTTTTCTCGACTTGAAAACTCATCTGTCTTGGGGATGGTTGTCATACACTCTCCTTTCTTCTCCTGAATCTCCATGACCTCTACAACATTAATATACAAGGTAATGCTTTACATTAACTGCATTTTTACAATACGGTTATAATGCACTCATAGAACATTCAGTGCACCTTCGTAATGCATTCATAACGAATCCATAGAACATTCATAAGCATTCATAAGAGCATGTAAGTATACCTTAACACCCCCAACATAACTTAGGTGTACCTTAATACCATAACATACCTTAAAAAGCACTTTAATAGCAAATATTATATGATTATACGATGATGTTAATTATTATTATTATTATCATATAATATTATGTGCATATAAGTATATTAACACCGTTAAAGTATGCTGGGACGTTAAGGTATACTTAAATACTACTTATGAATGTTCTATGAATACATAATGAATGCAAAATGAAGGTGCACTGAATATCCTATGAATGCATTATTAACACATTACAAAGGTGCAGTTAATGTAAAGCATTACCATATACAGAAAGGCGGCTCCGTCGCTCAAAAGCAGAGACAAGTCCTTTGCAAGTTATGTGCATTAATGGTTATTATCCAGAATGGGAAAGTTGGCATATATTACTGAGTAGTGACAGCACAGAGAACTGTATAGACTGAGGCCGGCACTGAGGGTCGTCTCACATCGTTGTGTGTGCAACATCACCCTCTGTTGGAAAGACACGTCTAAACGACTGGTGAAAAAAATGCCTTTCTGTGGTCGGACGTGCTCTCCTCAAACCATTTGGTGGCACTCTTTGCCAGTAATTGATCAAGGTCAGAAGGGAAAAGATGTAAATACAGTCTGTGGTCTTATAGCTTATTTGAGAAAAGGCATTATAATGTTTGATATGAGCATTAAGGATGCTTGGTAGTACATTATAAAGGTATCTATAGTGCATTATAGAGGAGAGCTTCGTGGAGCATTCATAATGCATAATACACATGACTATAATATGTCATGCCTTTTTATAAATATTTATAACCATGTTTTAATGCTTCATGAATGCATTATTATTCGTTATGAATGTGTTTGTAAATTACTAAAAACATGGCCTTAAATATAGTGTTACGCACTTTTTTAATAAAGTGGTATTTATCTCTGATAGGACATTTTTATTGCGAAAAAGACCATTACCACTGACATTGTCATGAAAAATACCATGTAACTAAAATTCATTTGACCAGCATGCCAGTTTGTGACTAATATATAACAGCATTCTGATTTAGCCTGGTCCTATTTTAATGAATGTAATTTGAAGATGAAAATACAAATATATGCACAAGTATATGCACTTATGTATGCATATATATATATATATATATATTACATGAATTAAAAAAGGATCCAGCTAAATTAGGACGTTGTTACTGTACATATACAGTACACATACAGTGTGTGCATACACACACACAAACAGGTTTGTAATTATATCTTTGGGGGGACTCTCCATTCATGTCTATGGGGAAAACTGTAATCCCAACCTGACAACCCTA